GATAGAAGAGAGAACAAATGAGAGAGTAGTTGGATACATCAGTTGTAATTCAGAATTCATTGAGATTACACGTGTATTATTTATTAAGTATCGTGAAAAAGAATAAACACAATTAGATATATTTCATGGACAATTTCTACCCTGTGCTATAATATTGTTCAATAAATATTTAATATATTCATTTAAATATAATATCCACAACTAACATCTTTCAATATATATAATTCTTAATAAATATTAATAATTAACCCTATGCTATAATATTGTTCAATAAATATTTAATATATTCATTTAAATATAATATCCACAACTAACATCTTTCAATATATATAATTTTTAATAAATATTAATAATTAAACCTATGCTATAATATTGTTCAATAAATATTTAATATATTAATTTAAATATAATATCCACAACTAACACCTCTAAATATATATAATTCATAATAAATATTAATTATTCACCCTATGCTATAATATTGTTCAATAAATATTTAATATATTTATTTAAATATAATATCCACACTTGATCTCTAAGAATGACAGCAAAACATAATAGAAAGAAGAACAGAATTATCGACTATTTAATCCTTATATACAAGGTGTCCCATTTAACTCGAATATCCGAAGTACCTACTTGTTTTCTACACAGAGAAAAATGTCAGAGGAAAATATAGATTGACTTGGAAGGACATAAATATAATCAAAAACAAATTTTTCTCACGGCCATATTTGTCAAGATTTCATTAAAATTTTAATGGAAAAATATTAATAAATTAATAAAAATTTAAATGGAAAAATACATTTTCATCACGACTGTACGTCGCTGAAGTTCAAAAGAAATGCAGCGAATACCATAACCTTCGCGTGTCCTTGAGCACGAGATGTTCATAAAAGTTGAGCAACCGATGCAAACAGTGAGACGCCATAACCGAATGATTAATGCAGAAAAATTGATTTCGACGACATTCAAGATTATGTCCGTTGAAGTGTCCAAAATGATACCCATTACTCTCGACAGATCGTCGTATAGGAGTAATGAAATTACTCTTGTCCCTCTCTGTAACTCGTTCACCGATACCAACACATACAGTCCTAACCCGTTCTCCCATGTTTTCCAGTGTTGCAGAGACGTGGTTGTAAACTTTCGATTTTATCACACGCCAAAGAAAAGACATTTAGATCCGTGTAAGATCCGACGAATCGAGCAGGACAGTGAATATTTACAGTACGATCGATTCAGCGTTGCAAAGATTTTAATTTAATACTTGTCAGGCTATCGTGTCTCGTGCGCTGGACAGTTTGTGAGTGAGGTTGAACGAGTGAAATTCATTTGTCCTATAATTGTGCAATGTGTGATATAAATATAACGTGATCGAGTACCGTCTAGTGTGAATAATGTTTAAAGGAATGTTTAGAAGAATGTACCAGAATGAAACAGTTGTCTGAGAAATATCAAAGAGTGAATACGCAAATGTAATATTAAGAGTGAGTTAGCAAGTTATAGTTATTGAGTTTATATTATATTATTGAGTTATTAAGTTATTGAGTTATCGAGTTTAAGGTATTGAGTTTATATTATATTGTTGAGCTATTAAGTTATAGTTATTGTTATCATTAATTAAGTTATAGTTATTAAGTTACAGTTATTGAGTTATTAAGTTATAGTTATTGAGTTATTAAGTTATAGTTATTGAGTTTATATTATATTATTGAGTTATTAAGTTATAGTTATTGAGTTATTAAGTTATAGTTATTGAGTTATTAAGTTATAGTTATTGAGTTATTAAGTTATAGTTATTGAGTTATTAAGTTATAGTTATTGAATTTATATTATATTATTGAGTTATTAAGTTATAGTTATTGAGTTTGTATTATATTATTGAGTTAATAAGTTATAGTTATTGAGTTATTAAGTTATTGAGTAATTGAGTTAAAGTTATCGAGTTTATATTATATTATTGAGTTATTAAGTTGTAGTTATTGAGATATTATTGAGTTATAGTTATTAAGAGTGAGTTTGTGAGAGAAGAAACTTTTGAAAAGAGTACACCGATTTTATTATTTCAAACTGTTAATTATTTAAATAGTTTAATTTAATATACTTTGTGTGTTAGTTGTTAAAAAGATCTTAGATATTATTGTCTATTCCACCCATAAATATATTGTACTTCTGAATCAACTCTTTTGTTTAGATTCTGCCGATTGTATAGACTAACTTTTGATGCCGATAGTTATAAACGATAAAAATCGATTGTTCATTTTTTATATTATTTATTTATTATATTATTATTCAATTATTATATTATTTTTGTATGTTATTTATTTATTATATTATTATTCAATTATTATATTATTTTTGTATGTTATTTATTTATTATATTATTATTCAATTATTATATTATTTTTGTATGTTATTTATTTATTATATTATTATTCAATTATTATATTATTTTTGTATGTTATTTATTTATTATATTATTATTCAATTATTATATTATTTTTGTATGTTATTTATTTATTATATTATTATTCAATTATTATATTATTTTTGTATGTTATTTATTTATTATATTATTATTCAATTATTATATTATTTTTGTATGTTATTTATTTATTATATTATTATTCAATTATTATATTATTTTTGTATGTTATTTATTTATTATATTATTATTCAATTATTATATTATTTTTGTATGTTATTTATTTATTATATTATTATTCAATTATTATATTATTTTTGTATGTTATTTATTTATTATATTATTATTCAATTATTATATTATTTTTGTATGTTATTTATTTATTATATTATTAGTTCGATTTCTTTCAGATCCGGAAACGTTTTCCACAAAATTGCATAACTCGTTAGGCGAGAAATTAGCATGTTATGGATCATGCATGGTGTCATAGATCAAAAATGGCCTAATAATATAAATGTTTTTCCTTTGTCATTCTGTCCTACTCGAACTTTCATAATCAATTATACATTGATTATTCAACTTTTACGAATTTTTCGTGCTCAAGGTGACAAGAAGGTTTAATGTTAAAGTTGTGGTACTTTTGCGTCATATGGTGACGATAAAGATACGTTGTTCTGTATAAAAAGCTTCGATGACTCTGAAATTTCGAAAAATATGATCTTGGTAAATATCTTTTGCCTATCTTAATATTCGTCCCTTCAAACAAATCCATATTTTTCTCCGATATTTTCTTCTACCTTAAGAGACACGCAAGATACTTTCGATTTATGCTATGGACGAAATATCCTGTTTATTCTTTCTCTTTCTTACGTTTTCGTTCCCCTAACGCGTTTTCGACGAATTTTCGGTTAACCCATTTGCATCACCCAAAAGGTGGAAAATTAGCTCATATCACCAAAATTTTTTTAATTTGTATAAAGATAGAAATATTTCCAAATGATAAAAAAACGAAAAGAAAAGAGAAATGGCGTACACAAAGAATTTATAATTCTATTTAATTATACATCGAAAATAATTTGAGAAATTAAAGTTAATAGTATTTGAAATGGTCAATACATATAGCCACACAGCAATTATCACACTGATAAAATGAATCTTTTTTCTTCTTTTGTGATAAACAAACTACACAACCTTTACGAGCTTTCCGTGATGAAGTTGTTTCAATGAGTATTAAAAAATGTTGGCCAATAAATCTTGATGGACGTGGTGTAATATCTTGTGTTGCTGATGTTTTTATCTTTGGTTTATTTTATTCAATTATTTCTTCTGCTCATTTTTGTGAAGACGCGAAATACTCTATCTTTAAGAATAATCTGCAGTCGTGATACGAAATAATAAAGTCTATAGAATTATCAAAAATAAAGGTATTAAAATGAGACTTATGCTATAAACACGGTCTCTGGTGCAAATCAGCGTGCATGCGTATTGTGACTATGCACAGAGGTTCTGTTCTTATGCCAAAAGACTAGCACGCATATCTGCGCTTCGGTGATGATGGCCAGGAAAATTCCGCGCAAATATGCGCTTATGATGCAAATGAGTTGAAGAACCTGACATAAAAATTCATTTTTCCGTGTATGCTTTAACACCTTATATGCTTTTCTTCCAATATAGAGATCAAAAGTACTCGCCAATATATATCAATCCTTCTATAAACATGAGCTCTGATAATAAAATTAGTAGTTAGGAGAAGGAAAACTTTTACTATATTACCTGTAAAAATTTTTTAATATAGAAATCCTATAAGCTTTGAAAATTTCGAAAAGAAGATGAAAAAAGCAAAATTCACCCCCTTGTACTGTTTCGCTAGCTGCCTTCTTTTATACGTAATTATACATGAAAATTAAATGGGAAAAAATTGTCGATTAATTGTCTTTATGAATTAAATGTTTAAAAAATTTTGATTTTTATTATTTCTACAAAAATATTCCAAATATTATAATTCTGTCCAATATCTTTAACTGCTGCTTCGAATACTACTAATTTTCTCCTATAAAATCAAATTCAATTAGTTTCAAAATTCAAAAATTTTATTAATTAATTCAAAAAGTCGAACAATTTTTCTTTTCCTTTTTTTTAATTATTTTTTCTCAATTTATTTTTTTTTATTTATTTCTTTATTTATTTGATTTTTCTCTTCTTTAAAGAGATATATCGTTGTAAAGTTACTCGAGAAACATTGAAAATCACAGAGTGTCCTCATTTTGTCGTGTACTGTATACCAGTCCTTCATCGCCCTATTTACCTGTATCCTGTTCACTCTCTTCGTTGCATTATGCGATATAATTCGTGAATGTAAATACGAATGTCTCATTTTCAACGAACAACGAAAATTCGTGGTTACATCTTTTTACGAAAATAGGTTTATCTTTTCGATTATATCAACGTGGGTGGAACTTTTACGCTACGACCAATCGGATCCTCGTTCTTTCCAAGTACAAACTCCTGAAGTCCGCATGGTACACGGCATTACAGTATAGGTATGTAAATAACAGTCGAGAGAAGTACTCACCTGACAACGAGTGGAAAGATATTTGGAGAACGATAGTCTTTGTAATAGAGCAAGAAGGGATTATCCTGTTGTACGAAGAGAGGTGGCACACCAGCGGTACTAGTGACAATGCTCACGTCGGCGCAATTTCGAAACGTCTCTGGTCTCCCACATCCGTTCGCCTCGGTTCCATTTTCGCAAGTGCCCCACATGTTACCTATTAATAATATTACTCTTAATATAACGAAGAAATATAGAAATGTAAAAATATATCGCATTGATAATTGTAGCAACATGTTACAAATAGTAATTAGTAGTAAATAGTAACTATGCAACGATCTAATAACTCTCTTACAACCGACTTCTGAGACTTAAAACTGATTTACACCTGACTGTTGACTTCTAAATGACTTTCAATACTGACTTTAAAACCCTGACTGACTTTCAATACTGACTTTAAAACCCTGACTGACTTCCAATACCGATTTTTATGCTCTGACTGACTTTCAATACCGATTTTAAAATCCTGACTGACTTTCGATACCGATTTTAAAATCCTGATTGTCTTTTAATACCGATTTTAAAACTTAGTCTGACTTTCAATTCTGACTTTAAAACCATAAATGACTTTCAATACCGATTTTAAAACTTAGTCTGACTTTCAATTCTGACTTTAAAACCATAAATGACTTTCAATACCGATTTTAAAACTTAGTCTGACTTTCAATTCTGACTTTAAAACCATAAATGACTTTCAATACCGATTTTAAAACTTAGTCTGACTTTCAATTCTGACTTTAAAACCATAAATGACTTTTAATACGAACTTTAAAACCCTGACTGACTTTCAATACCGATTTTAAAGCTTTGACTGACGTTCAATACCGATTTTAAAGCTCTGACTGACTTTCAATACCGATTTTAAAGCTCCGACTGACTTCCAATACTGATTTTAAAATCCTGACTGTCTTTTAATACCGATTTCAAAATCCTGACTGACTTTCGATACTGATTTTAAAATCCTGACTGACTTTCAATACCGATTTTAAAATCCTGACTGTCTTTCAATACTGATTTTAAAAGCCTGATTGTCTTTCAATACCGATTTTAAAACTTAGTCTGACTTTCAATTCTGACTTTAAAACCATAAATGACTTTCAATACCGATTTTAAAACTTAGTCTGACTTTCAATTCTGACTTTGAAACCATAAATGACTTTTAATACGAACTTTAAAACCCTGATTGACTTTCAATACCGATTTTAAAGCTTTGACTGACGTTCAATACCGATTTTAAAGCTCCGACTGACTTTCAATACCGATTTTAAGATCCTGACTGTCTTTTAATACCGATTTCAAAATCCTGACTGACTTTCAATACTGATTTTAAAATCCTGACTGACTTTCAATACTGATTTTAAAATCCTGACTAACTTTCAATACTGATTTTAAAATCCTGACTGTCTTTTAATACTGATTTTAAAATCCTGATTGACTTTCAATTCTGACTGTAAAACTCTAACTGACTTTCAATACAGACTTTAAGACCCTGACTGATTTTCAATACCGTTTTTAAAACTCTGACTGACTTTCAATACTGATTTTAAAATCCTTACTGTCTTTTAATACCAATTTTGAAATCCTGACTGTCTTTCAATACTGCTGATTTTAAAACACTAACTTAAAGCTGATCTGCACGCATCCTTGCATTATACTTTATATTACATTGATTAATAAAAGAATGATTTCTTTCATCTCTCGATTATTGAGATCAAAATTTAGACTGACTGACTTTCAATTCTGACTTTAAAACCCTGACTGACTTTCAATACCGATTTTAAAACTCAGACTGACTTTCAATTCTGACTTTAAAACTCTAACTGACTTTCAATACAGACTTTAAGACCCTGACTGATTTTCAATACCGTTTTTAAAACTCTGACTGACTTTCAATACTGATTTTAAAATCCTTACTGTCTTTTAATACCAATTTTGAAATCCTGACTGTCTTTCAATACTGCTGATTTTAAAACACTAACTTAAAGCTGATCTGCACGCATCCTTGCATTATACTTTATATTACATTGATTAATAAAAGAATGATTTCTTTCATCTCTCGATTATTGAGATCAAAATTTAGTTTAATAGACATTAAAAGAAAGACAATAAGTAATAATTCACGATTGATGTTTTCTATTGATGATTTTCTAATGTCGCTAAAATTTTTAAAATAAAATTTCTTTTATTACAGTCCTTTTCTAAAATCGAGAAGTATGAGAAAGATAATTAAGTAAATTTCAATCGTATAATTTCCTGCACAAAACTTTTTTTCATTTAATATATGTTATAGCCTTTTATACAATTTTATAACGAACGTTCTCTTATAAAAATATTGTCATTCGTATGATAACTATTTTAATCTACAATTTTATAAAATTCTCTTCTTCAACGAAGCAATGCATACATTTTAAATGTGAGAAAAGGCAGATAAAATGAAACATTTTATACATTGCATTTATTGTTTTTAACATTTTTAAAGAATTCACTTTTTTGATTCATTTAAGAATTTTTTGAAAAGGCAACAATTTTCAACGCTAAACCGTCCGTAGTAAATGAAGAAATGGAATAAGAAGAGATATCGAAAAATTGACTTTATGTATACTATAAGAAAAGTGAAAATGAAAACGTTGAAAATGATAGCATCGAATGCAGAATTTTTAGTAGAAAGTTTAGGAACAACCGTTTACTTCATAGCAAGTTCAGTATTAAACGATTTTCCTCGAAATTCAAAGAACAGTCATAAATCCTGTTTTGCTACCAAACCCATAAATATTTGCGTTTGTAAATTTATGGTAAAAATAATTATAATTAAATTTGTTTAAATAAAGTAAACAAGATGTGAAAAAGTAATACAAACCGGTATAATAATTCCATTGCATCACGCATTGTGTACAGGTGACATAGGCCGGTAAAGTTACCTTGTACCGAAATATAGCTTTTCTTTCGGTATCCTGAGGAATCTCGAATCGGACGTCCCGTGTTCCAGATACGTACAGAGGATACCTCAAAAAAGAAAAATACATTCCGACAGATCGTTTATTATCGTTTTAGACTTATTCTAGTAACATATATAATACCTATTTGTAACTATATAATAAATGTACTCGCTACTGATTAATATTTATTTTAATGATACAACTGTCTTACACAATATTAAGTATCATTACTTGATAAATTTTACTTATGCAGCTAACTATATAGAAAAGTAAATTAAACGGAAGAAAATAAAAGAAAAGAGAAAAAAAGAGAAGAAAAGAAAGAAAAGAAAGAAAAAGGAAAGAAAGGAAAAGAAAAGAGAAGAAAAGAAAAGAAATGAAAAGAAAAGAGAAAAAAGGAAAAGAAAAAAAAAGAAAAGGAAAGAGACGAAAAAAAAGAAAAGAGAAGAAAAGAAAGAAAAAGAAAAGAAAGGAAAAGGAAAGAAAAGAAAAGAAAGGAAAAGGAAAGAAAAGAAAAGAAAGGAAAAGAAAAGAAAAGGAAAAGAAAGGGAAGAAAAGAAAAGGAAAAGAAAGGAAAGAAAAGAAAAATAATACAGTAAAATTTTGTTCATCTCACTCCGTTGAGAAACAGATATCATACAATTAGGGTTCATATAATAGGATTAACCCTTTCGTCACGAGCGCGTTGTCCGCCGTGACCCTCCCACTGTACAGGGTGCCACGCTGAAAATGCGCACATAGCACGTGGTCAGTCCCCTTTTATATGAAGATTTTCTTAAGCGTTAACTAAGAAGCTTAATAACAATGTTTTTTCCAACAAGTATTGTTTGTAGCTTTAATATTAAAAAATATTTATATAAAAATCTTTACAGATAAATGCCGGATATATCCGCGCTCGTACCAAAAGGGTTAAACCGATTTCTATCTCTATCTATGATTTCTAGTACGAATAATAAAACTTGACGTTCAAATAAATAGATTTGATCAACGAAAGTTTAGTTAATCGAATATTAATTGATATTCTGTTTCGATAATCAGAGTAAATCAGGTAAATGAATTTCTACTGTATATCTACTTATAAATTTTCTTTCTTACCTATCAAAGCATTCCTGGGATGCCACCTGCCTCGGATTATTATTTGGACAAAGATACATTTCGAATCTCCCTAAATGGTTCGCTGTAAGCTCGATCTCGACATCGATATCCTATAAATTCGAATAATGTCATTAAAAATATAATATGCAATAAAATATGTCAAAGGACAGTTATTCATTATGTGAGAAAATTACAGGAAAGTTGTGGAAGCTTAAAGGCTTTTGACAATTATTTAACACTTTATTAATTAACAAATAATGACATTGTTAGTCCGACCATCATTATTTATACATTCCCGCTCATCGGCCATTGTTATTTCGCCGGTATGATGTTTTCCACGGCTACTCATCAACCCTCACCATAGTCGCTGACAACGGGACAACCCTTGCTGACATTCAGCCTAACTTGTCTTACAATTACAAAGTTTGACCCTTCATACGAGATACAAATTTTGATAATTTTAATCAAAATGTGCCTCTTTTTAATGAATTTATCAGGTATATTATTTTAAGAAGAAACTAGTAAAAGAACACCGGTATTAAAAATAAAAGAAATATGCTCGGAATTAAAATTTTGCAAATTTTCAATCAAGATGTTAACTCTTTGCAAAATGGAATAAGAAGAGATATCGAAAAATTGACTTTATGTATACTATAAGAAAAGTGAAAATGAAAACGTTGAAAATGATAGCATCGAATGCAGAATTTTTAGTAGAAAGTTTAGGAACAACCGTTTACTTCATAGCAAGTTCAGTATTAAACGATTTTCCTCGAAATTCAAAGAACAGTCATAAATCCTGTTTTGCTACCAAACCCATAAATATTTGCGTTTGTAAATTTATGGTAAAAATAATTATAATTAAATTTGTTTAAATAAAGTAAACAAGATGTGAAAAAGTAATACAAACCGGTATAATAATTCCATTGCATCACGCATTGTGTACAGGTGACATAGGCCGGTAAAGTTACCTTGTACCGAAATATAGCTTTTCTTTCGGTATCCTGAGGAATCTCGAATCGGACGTCCCGTGTTCCAGATACGTACAGAGGATACCTCAAAAAAGAAAAATACATTCCGACAGATCGTTTATTATCGTTTTAGACTTATTCTAGTAACATATATAATACCTATTTGTAACTATATAATAAATGTACTCGCTACTGATTAATATTTATTTTAATGATACAACTGTCTTACACAATATTAAGTATCATTACTTGATAAATTTTACTTATGCAGCTAACTATATAGAAAAGTAAATTAAACGGAAGAAAATAAAAGAAAAGAGAAAAAAAGAGAAGAAAAGAAAAGAAAAGAAAAGAAAAGAGAAGAAAAGAGAAGAAAAGAGAAGAAAGGAAAAGAAAAAGAAAAGAAAAGAGACGAAAAAAAGAGAAGAAAAGAAAGGAAAAGGGAAAGAAAGAAAGAAAAAGAAAAGAAAGAAAAGGAAAAGAAAAGAAAAGAAAAGAAATGAAAAGAAAGGAAAAGAAAAGAAATGAAAAGAAAAGAAAAGAAAGGAAAAGAAATAACATGAAATGTAAAAGAAAAGAAAAGGAAAAGAAAGGGAAGAAAAGAAAAGGAAAAGAAAGGAAAAGAAATAACATGAAATGTAAAAGAAAAGAAAAGGAAAAGAAAGGGAAGAAAAGAAAAGGAAAAGAAAGGAAAGAAAAGAAAAATAATACAGTAAAATTTTGTTCATCTCACTCCGTTGAGAAACAGATATCATACAATTAGGGTTCATATAATAGGATTAACCCTTTCGTCACGAGCGCGTTGTCCGCCGTGACCCTCCCACTGTACAGGGTGCCACGCTGAAAATGCGCACATAGCACGTGGTCAGTCCCCTTTTATATGAAGATTTTCTTAAGCGTTAACTAAGAAGCTTAATAACAATGTTTTTTCCAACAAGTATTGTTTGTAGCTTTAATATTAAAAAATATTTATATAAAAATCTTTACAGATAAATGCCGGATATATCCGCGCTCGTACCAAAAGGGTTAAACCGATTTCTATCTCTATCTATGATTTCTAGTACGAATAATAAAACTTGACGTTCAAATAAATAGATTTGATCAACGAAAGTTTAGTTAATCGAATATTAATTGATATTCTGTTTCGATAATCAGAGTAAATCAGGTAAATGAATTTCTACTGTATATCTACTTATAAATTTTCTTTCTTACCTATCAAAGCATTCCTGGGATGCCACCTGCCTCGGATTATTATTTGGACAAAGATACATTTCGAATCTCCCTAAATGGTTCGCTGTAAGCTCGATCTCGACATCGATATCCTATAAATTCGAATAATGTCATTAAAAATATAATATGCAATAAAATATGTCAAAGGACAGTTATTCATTATGTGAGAAAATTACAGGAAAGTTGTGGAAGCTTAAAGGCTTTTGACAATTATTTAACACTTTATTAATTAACAAATAATGACATTGTTAGTCCGACCATCATTATTTATACATTCCCGCTCATCGGCCATTGTTATTTCGCCGGTATGATGTTTTCCACGGCTACTCATCAACCCTCACCATAGTCGCTGACAACGGGACAACCCTTGCTGACATTCAGCCTAACTTGTCTTACAATTACAAAGTTTGACCCTTCATACGAGATACAAATTTTGATAATTTTAATCAAAATGTGCCTCTTTTTAATGAATTTATCAGGTATATTATTTTAAGAAGAAACTAGTAAAAGAACACCGGTATTAAAAATAAAAGAAATATGCTCGGAATTAAAATTTTGCAAATTTTCAATCAAGATGTTAACTCTTTGCACTCGAGAGGTGACCTACAGTCACCATTTCATAGAATTTGGAAGATCGATATTAATTAATATATCAAATTTAATATAAAATAATACTGTGCGAGGTATCGAAATCAAATAATTCTACAATTCTTTATTTACTGCTCAGAAAATTATCGTCAGTTTTTTAAAAGAGAATCTTTGAATTTCTACTCTTCTTTAGTCAAAAAATCATCGAGTGTAAAGAGTTAATATTTAATAATCGATATCGATAACCATTGTCATCCAAGAAACGGAATTAAAAATGCAATCTATGGATAAAATTTCAATTATTTCAATTTCACAGTATAGAATACGAAATATTATTTGCATATTATGTATATATTAACAATAGTCTGCTTATTAATAGAAATTTATTCAATTAATTAATTTTATATCGATATCTTTTAAATAAAGATATCTGAATATTTTCTCATATATACAGGGTGTCCCAAAAACATGTACACACACTTTGCGTGATTATTTTAAATAGGTTGTACCTAGAAAAGAAAAAATAAATTAGAAAGAATAAGGTATTAAAGTTTATATACATTTTTTTGGGACACCCTGTATTTTCTTATATAATAGACTCACTGTATATAAGTTACTATTTACCAACGAATTATTACTACGATAAATTTTTCTAACAAATAACTAGTCTAAAGAAACTCGTTTAGAAAATGAGAAATATATACTTCTCGCAAACAGCATTAAGTATTATAAGTATTAAAAATAAATATAAATATCGCGATAATACTGTTCTATCAAAATTGATCTTCCAAAACGATGTGATTTATGAAATGAAATAATATTATAGGAATAAAAGAATTTATGTTAATTGAATACAATTTGATCAATCGTGGAAGATTGGTAAAGAGAAAATACGAAAACCACATAGTAAGTATAACTTTGTCATAAGTGTTATAAGCTAGCAACTTTGATAGAGGGTTAGTGACATCTTTCTTCGAAGGTTCCCTAATTGTCACTAGCAACGCCATTTTTGCTGTTTCTATCATGAGGTGGTACTATTGTTTCGTTACCAACCTTGCTCTGTGATTCTATTGTTACTATAAGCGACAGAGGTATGCACACGAAAGAAAATATGTAAAACGAGTACTCGAGATAATAACTATACAAAATGAAAGTCGCAAAGTACGTACAAAGGTATATGAAAATTAACACATTGCGTACAGCATAGAAATCTCTAAGCATACGCCAGGGATCACGCATTTTGAGAAGACAGTGTGTTGACATTTAACACTTGGCCGACCGATCGGGGAGATCTCCCCATTTTAAAATTGACCAGTATCCGACCGATCGGGGAAATCTCCCCATTTTAAAATAAGTCGGTGCCCGACCGATATCGGGGAGATCTCACCATTTTGACCTTACAACGCGTTTCTCGTTTTCGGTTATTACTTATGTGGCGGCTAAGATTCCGCCACTACGCCCATGCAAAAGGAGCAGGGACATTAGGGTCGAGTGTGCACCGGGTAAGTCCCCGCAACATACCAGCAGTCGCTGCAGGTCAACAGGCATTGTCCCGCGGATGGCATTGGCTATCGTCAATGTCATGCCGGGGATTAGCCTGAGACCAGGCAGCGATGTTGCAGACCAACGGTCGTCTTAATTTACGACCTCCCTGGGCGGTCATCACGATTTTCCCGCGCAAGGGCGGTTCCCGCGTAAACCTTTCCCGCGAAAACTTAGTTTTCCCCGCGCGCGGGTTGGCGGTTTTTTTCTACCCCTTCCGCGAACACTCGACCGATTTAAAAGCTACTAAGTCAGAGGACCACGGGCAGTTTGAAACCTTCTACGACGCCATGATTATTGTCCCGACGGCCGCGACGAGCGCCGACATACTTATTGCGACCCACTTCACTTACATTACCTCTATTTGGAGTTGTTCGCAATTACTGACGAACTGCTTTCATAAAGCACAATATATTATAAAATTCACCAATTTTTAAGGCCCCTTATTCTGGTTCCCCGAGCGTGGTGGAAACCGTATAATTCGCTCTGGGGCGTACGGTTGGCTAAGTGTTAAGGTCCATGACAGATGGCGCGCGAAACACGAGAAAACTCGTGGGCGACACGCAACGTGTTAAAGTAGATTTGAGGTTAGATTAGGATTATATTACGGTTAATTAAAGTAAAACTTACAGTAAAAATTAGCGAAAAATAATCGTACAGTTATCAATGAAAACTTGAGATCAAAGTAACGTAAAATTAAAAGTAAAATATCGTAGAATATATAAACGTAATCATAATTTAATTATATTTTTATTTAAGTATCGCATATCCACTTATTTATTTCTTTAATATATGGAATATTAAATATTGAAATTTTAATTTATATTAAAAATAATTCTTCAACGAGGAAAGAACTCGACATAAAATATCTTTGTAAATTACTCTGTTGCTGTCAAATGTGAAACGTTTGAGATATTATTTAACCCTTTGCACTCCTTTGTCGAATTACACTCGACATTTTTTGATACTTTATTTACTGAACAAGAAAACAGAAAATAAGTAACTACTTGAATTACTTAAATTCAAAATTTATGGAATATTTTGTTCCTGAAAATTTCCTTTATTACCTATAGCTCGAAAAAGCCAACGAAATGGAATTTACTTGCACATGTTCTTTCGGATACTAAAAGCAGTTACGTTTATTCCTTCGTCCTGTACTATGAGAAATATAGAACTCACGAATTGATTCATCCAGAGCTTCAATTCGCTGGCATAATTATATTACAACTGTATCAAAATTTATTAGAAAATATACCCGAGACCAAGGGATGTCATATTTTCACTGACAGGTTTCACACGAGTCCTGCATTGGCAACAGAGTTGCACAAAAATAAATACTTCCTCACAGAAACGATAATGGCTAACAGAAAGGGATTATCGCCTCTATATATATAAAATATCCAAATCCAAATAATAAAATATCCAAAGTTAGTAATTAGAGGAAAATTAGCTTTGAGGAAAAACGAAACTTTAATGCTAGCATGGAGGGACAAAAGAATAATAACTATACTTACAAAGGGATCTTACGGTCGTGGACATCACTTTTGAAACGATAGTAGTTACAAGCTATAGTACATACCTAGTATTAGCTCTGTTAAAGACTGTTAAATAATTCATTTACAAAGTATATATAAAACTTTAAATTAAAATATCTCGAAAATGAATCCCATTTTGAAGAAAGCCATTAGGGTTTCTAAGTACTAGCGCCGCATATAGGTGGCGTCCATGCGATGACTCCTGGATACGGACACCCCATATATCCGGCATCCAAATAACTAATTTGCGTTAAATTAATAAATAACTAATTTACTATCCGGCATCCAAATAACTAATTTGCGTTAAATTAATAAATAACTAATTTACGTTTCATTATTAATTATATTAAACATTTTATCGTAGGGTTTTATACATATCTAAATGCCTATATTACCTATAATTAATAAATAATAATATTGTAGGATACCATTTGGGAAAGAAATCGCGAATCGGCCATTGCCAACAAAAACAAATTATAAACCGATCAATATTTTCTAGAAGCAAATGGAAAAGTTATTTTGGGTAACAAAATTAAGTTGCGCGGTCCCTACGGGGAGGTGAAGCCCAGGTTAAGAAAAGCATAAAAGCAGGGCCCTTGACGACCAAAACAGAGTCCTTAGAAATCAATTGTGACCAGCACGAGCATGAGTCGCTCGGTGCTGGAAAGAGAGTTAAATTAGAGTGCGTCTTGGTGCGTTTTCGTTTCGTTACCTTGGTGTTCTTTTCCTAAGTTAAATTAGTTTTATGAGTTTTGAGTTTGTGTTATTCTGTTCTTGTTGTTTGTCAATTTTTGGTGTCTCAAAACCAGTTTTCGCCATCCTACAATATAAATAATATAATGATATAAATAATTAATTAAGGCTTAGGAAAACGTATATAGTTCAGGGATTTCCGTTCAAGGACGGAAATGCTGAAGCCAGAGAGTTAATAGTAGGTACTATAACTTAGGTACTATAACTTGTACCTACTACCGTTCCAAAAGCGATGTCCACGATTATAAAATCCCCTTGTTAGTACAAAATTGAGATATATAGCCCACGAAGTCTCTAAAAAGGCAAAATATTCCTAAAGTATAAAACCGAAAATGATCATAGATTATAACAAATACATGGGTGTTGTCAATATGGGGAACCAATACACGACACCTTATTATCTTCTACATTGAACAATTAAATGGTGGAGAAAATATTTCTTCCAGGAATTAAAATTTGATTCTTCCTTTATTTATTTAAATTGAAGTAATAAATATTATAATAAATATATTTAAATTAATTATTAAAATAATAAATAATAAATATATTTAAATTATATTTTAGTTAGAAACAAATATAAATTGCAGCAATGTTTGAGAATAATTCGGAATGCAAAGGGTTAAAAGTATTTGAGAAATAAGTTTAAAATATAAATTACAGCAATATTTGAGAACTATATTTGATATAATAAGTAAACAAAATTCTTTAAAATAATTAGCAGTCGAGGAACTACCCTGTAAAACAAATTTCAAACAAAATACTTAAAATAGTAGGAAGATATTGATAATAAAATTGAAAAATAATTCGGAATGCAAAGGGTTCGGAGTATTTGAGAAATAAATTCAAAATATAAATTACAACAATATTTGAGAACTATATTTAATATAATAAGTAAACAAAATTCTTTAAAATAATTAGCAGTCGAGGAAGAATCCTGTAAAGCAAATTTCAAACAAATTATCTAAAATAGTCCGAATTATTGGTAACAAAATTCACAGATAATTCGGGGTGCAAAGGGTTAATATTATTACTGGACTGCTTTCAGGAAAATTCATCGCGTAGTTATCGTCAAAATTGTATCATGCCATTTTAACAATTACAGCTTAAAATTCTAACCATAGAGAGAGAAACGAAATTACCTGGCCAACGGTGTAATGTCTGACAATTGTCCCCTTGGCGTATTCTCCCCCTGCTTCGTGTGGTCTCGGTTCGTGCAAGTGATAGGCATCCCCGCAAACCCCGCACTGGCCTTTATTCTGCACCCATTGAACTAAACAATAGCGTGGTATAATAATCTCTCGAAAAAGTTTGCCAACAGTTATCAAGATGAATACGTATTTCGTAAAACAGTGAATAAATAATCCTCGGCACGTAGTAATTTTCCTTCGCGAGAATAATCTGCTGTCCCGACAAGCTCAATTTCTCTTAAATTACATCTCGTGTTTCATTCGTCTCATACGTGAACCAAGAGGCTGACACACGTATTGTGTTGGTTTTTTACTTACTGTTTCAGAGCAAGGTGATCGTTATGAAGCAACAAACCTGCATAACCACCACAGAAGAGTTCATTATCGTTGTAATTTACGGGATTCGGGTACCCGAAACGCCACATGCAGTTTCGTGCTGGAGGGTCCATCAGACGTCCATGTCCACTCACGAAAGTGTAATTAGGAACCTTCAAAATTATTATTTTCTTATTTACCATTATTTACTTCGTTTAATTAAGCTTTGTTATTAGATAGACTTAGATATACTTCGTTAGCGTAATTAGGAACCTCCAAAATTATTATTTTCTTATTTACCTTGTACAATTATTTACTATAATTTACTTCGTTTAATCACGATTTTATCGTAAGTGTACTTTATCGTAAGTACGTTTAGTTACGATTTTATCACTGCTCGATCATAAACTGGAAAAGGTGCGAGGTATAAGAAGTATTATAATTGTATAGTAGAGTAATTTTGGATTAGATGTGATCGAAATCGTATTTTCTATTTTGACTGATTCATACTCGAAAATATATTTTGAAATATTGTACCATTTTTTATTTACTTTATACAATTATTTCCTATTTACTTACTTCGTTTAATTACGATTTGTTATTAGATAGACTTAGATATACTTCGTTACGATTTTATCACTGTTCGATCATAAACTGGAAGAGGTGCGAGGTATAAAAAGTATTATAATTTTATAGTAGATTAATTTTTGATTAGATGTAATCCAAATCGTATTTTCTATTTTGACTGATTCATACTCGAGAACATATTTTGTTTATTCTATTTTATATTGTATATTTTATATTATATTCTATTTGATATTGTATTATTCGAAGGTTGACTGTATTTTCATAGTCTTCTAACATTGCCTCTATGTTCACATATTTCTCTGACAAATTAAATTATAAATTACAAAAACAGTAAGAAGTGGAATAAATTAATCGAAATACATAGAATGTCGAGTCTAACTCGACCTAGAATAACAAAGAATTAATTTTTATATACGTATACAGTATCATCGAATAATACTAAACCTACCATGGTTTAAATCACCGATTTCTAAACTTTTGTTAAAAATTTCACGTTCAACGTTTTCACCTTAATCATACGTTTTCTTCCAATATTTTTCTTCCAACGTATAATCATTTTCTCAGTGTCTCCCGTTATTCCATTTTTTAAAGCTTCTGCTTCTTTTCCATTCACCGGTCATTTGACCAAGGCAGATTTAGTGTTAAAATAAATACTAGGATTAGAAAAATGTTAGTGTTTATGAATTGAATTTATTTCACTTACTGTTATATGTACTTACTAATACGACAAAAATTAACCCTTTGCACTCGAGAGGCGCCCTTCAGTCGCCATTTTATAAAATTTCGAAGCTCTATATTAACCTTTTGCACTCGAGAGATGAGCTTCAGTCACCATTTTATAATATTTGGAAGATCGATATTAATTAATATATCAAATTTAATGTAATCTAACAGTGTGCGAGGAATCGAAATCAAATAATTCTACAATTCTGTTATTATACAATTTTTTATTTACTGCTCAAAAAAGTATCGTCAGTTTTTTAGTAGAGAATCTTTGAATTTCTACTCTTCTCTAGCCAAAAATCGTTGAGTGCTAAGGGTTAATTAATATATCAAATTTAAAATAATGTAACTGTAGAAATTAAATAATTCTACGTGTTAATTATTATACGATTTCTTACTTACTACTCCAAAAATATCATCAGTTTTATAACAGAAAATTTTTCAACTCGTGTCCTTCGTTAGCCAAAAAATCGTCGAGTACAAAGGGTTAAGAAACAAAATAGTAATTTGAAAAGTGTCGTATATTCTTCATTTTCAAAAATACGTAGATGAAAAATAAGAACGGTAAGTACGAGGCAATAATATTTCCTAAAACACTATATTATTTATCAATTTTTCACGATTATTTTATTTATCAATATTTTTTATCAATAAATTATTATTTAGTAATATTTTTATAAGAATAAAGTTATAATTTATAACAGTGAATAATAAACCTTCTCAGTTAGGTTAACATTTTTTTGAGTGAGAAACATTATCATACACTCGTATTAAAATGAGCACCCTGTAGATATGTCTCCTTTAGCAAATGCTCATATATGATTTTGCGAGAAACAAGCGCGACATCTTCCTAATTTTCGAATTAAATATCTTCACCTCTGGTACTTCATTGTAAATATTATCTCCGTAAATATTCATTCGATATATTCATAGACTATAAACATGTAAATATCTGCTACATAAGTTTCATTATTTATTATCTATCTCGGCATATAAAGTAGCTTTTTACGCTCACCTTCCTAACTGACTATTTTCTTCCTTAACTTTTGTCAATATACGTATCGATATGCACGAAATATATGACAAAAATTGAAAAATAAAATAACGATTGCGAATTTTTGTATATTTTTATCTCCTGAGATAGGTGAATTAAAATTAAAATATTCGTAAATCATTACTTTGTTTCTTAATTTTTGTCATTTCATCGAGTTACTATTCTCGTGTTGAAATAATCATAAGTTTTGATTACTCGTGATTATGTTTCTGTAATTATAATTCTTTACTTTCTCGCATTTCGATCATTTTCTTATTTTTTACTCATAAAATAACGATTTTCAAATTTTTTTATATTTTTTATCTCCTGAGATAGGTGAATTAAAATTAAAATATTCGTAAATCATTACTTTGTTTCTTAATTTTTGTCATTTCATCGAGTTACTATTCTCGTGTTGAAATAATCCTAGGCTTTGATTACTCGTGATTACGTTTCTCTAATTATAATTCTTAACTTTCTCGCATTTCGATTATTTTCTTATTTTTTATTCATCGATTTACAAATTTCCAAATACACATTTTTCTTGTCAGGAGATCATGATCTACGTTTATGCGATTTCTGAAAATTTCCCTTTACTTTTATATTTCTTAGATCCCTCCTTTTCTCCTAAAATTTTATTTTATATAAATATATAATTACCTTTGTCGACAAATTTTGTCGATTTCATTTATGCGAAAATGCTGAATTTTAAGTGAGATTTACCGTGCTGTCTCTTCATTTATTTATTATGACATGTCAGCTTTACGTGCTGTTGGCTGTACGTCAAAAGCAATTAACGAAACTCTAAATAACGGAGCATGGAATATATAAGGTATAAATGGTATATAAATCTTCCAGCGACCGTGAATTATCGTTTTCTCTGCCGTCTCGAGCCTTAAGGCGAGCAATCGAGAAATACGCGCGCCTTTTAATAATACCAAAGGAGCATTTCGATAAGTATGTTATGAGATATGACGGCGTGAAAATGTGTATCGGAATACAAACAGCGTGTCACGATCGTTTTGGATGGCATCTTGTAAAACGTGTTATTGCAGTAAGATTTCTTTGCCAGTGGCAAAATACAAACGTGTGTGTAAGTGTACGTGTACTTATAATGCGTGTATTATACCTATACGAAATTTCATTATTACCGAATATTTTTTACAATCGGCGTGAAAAGTTGCAAATTTTCTTTGATATATCGCGAAAATATACTAACTACGACAAAAATAAAAATTGTATCGAAAATATAACTACGATATGAGCCGTTTATTTTGAAAGTGGCCTAAGTCCATTTATACTTAAATTGAGATATTTAGGGGTTTGTGTTTCAATGCAATTAAAAATATACGTACAGTATACTAATGAGTCATACTGCTTAAATGTATCTAAAGGAGTTAAATTTATAGTTGCTATTAAAATAATGACAATTATTAAGTGAATAATATTCGTTTTCTTACCAAGAATGGAGGTAGGCCACTTTCAAAATTAACAATCAGATTCCTTATAAAATTTGAAAGAGCCCAGTCCATTCGACATAATTTAAGATGCTTCAAATTGAAAAAAAACAATACCCAATTTATTTTATATATCTTTACTACACTTCAAAAACATAATTTATGCGATTCAAAACATTTTTTAATTACATAAATTACAAAACAATTTACTGCTCATTTACATTTTGTGTATGTGAAAGGGATTTGAAGAAATCATGATGTTCCAGTCGTTTTCTTCTTCCCCATGGGTGAAATAATTTATAAAATTTAATATTAACACGTTGACTGCCACGCGCATTTTACGTGGTTTGCCCATGGCGCCAACATGAATATTTTATTATGCGATGCATATTACGTTGAAATATTATTTACAACAGATAAGGCGAGTTGTATAATCGCGTTTAATGTATTTTTCGTGGTGGGGGTCACCGGTGAAAATATTTTTTACAATCGGCGTGAAAAGTTGCAAATTTTCTTTGATATATCGCGAAAATATACTAACTACGACAAAAATAAAAATTGTATCGAAAATATAACTACGATATGAGCCGTTTATTTTGAAAGTGGCCTAAGTCCATTTATACTTAAATTGAGATATTTAGGGGTTTGTGTTTCAATGCAATTAAAAATATACGTACAGTATACTAATGAGTCATACTGCTTAAATGTATCTAAAGGAGTTAAATTTATAGTTGCTATTAAAATAATGACAATTATTAAGTGAATAATATTCGTTTTCTTACCAAGAATGGAGGTAGGCCACTTTCAAAATTAACAATCAGATTCCTTATAAAATTTGAAAGAGCCCAGTCCATTCGACATAATTTAAGATGCTTCAAATTGAAAAAAAACAATACCCAATTTATTTTATATATCTTTACTACACTTCAAAAACATAATTTATGCGATTCAAAACATTTTTTAATTACATAAATTACAAAACAATTTACTGCTCATTTACATTTTGTGTATGTGAAAGGGATTTGAAGAAATCATGATGTTCCAGTCGTTTTCTTCTTCCCCATGGGTGAAATAATTTATAAAATTTAATATTAACACGTTGACTGCCACGCGCATTTTACGTGGTTTGCCCATGGCGCCAACATGAATATTTTATTATGCGATGCATATTACGTTGAAATATTATTTACAACAGATAAGGCGAGTTGTATAATCGCGTTTAATGTATTTTTCGTGGTGGGGGTCACCGGTGACCCCCGCGGCGCTGTAGACCATTTTTGCCATTATCAATTGTTTAAAAAGCAACTCGAAAAAATATTTCAATTCCCGATTTTAGGATGAAGTTAGCGATGTATTTAGTGAAATGTTCCGATCACGAAGATTGCATTTCATCGAGCAATTACGTACAGAAAAAACGTCGTCACGAATTTAAAAAGAAACCTGGAAGTGTGCGAAATGTAAGGCGATTTTGCAAAGCGTGCTATGAAAATAATTCAAATCAGCTAGGAAGAATGAGAGCAAAGAACTGCACTAAAAAAGTGGCGACATATTGTGCCGATTGTTTTGGTTCACCTTTTCTTTGTATAAATAAAATTATTTTTGCATGTTCTGTATGGCATTAATTTCTTCGAACCATCATAGTAACAATGGTACTATTTAAAAATTTATCAGTATCGATATTTACCCTAATTATGTATTTTTACTAATGGTCGCGTCGCCGGTTACCGGTGGCCCCCGTGGCGCCACCGCCACGTTGAGTGCCGGTGACCCCCATGGCAGTTAACGTGTTAAATTTTAAATTTTATATTTAACAGTAAATATGTATATTGCGTAAATTTTTTTTAACTGCATTAATTAAACGTACTGATTATTCAACTAAAGCAATTGTCCAAAAACTGAGGTTAATTTGTTAAATACTAATTAATTAAAATTACTTTCATCACTGCCTTCGGACATTATCAATAATAAAATCTCAATTCAAGTATAAATGGACTTAGACCACTTTCAAAATAAACGGCTCAATTATTGAACTAACTCTGAAAACTTGTGTCCAAAATTATCGTATTTATTCGGAATATGAGTAACCTCAAATGCTTTATTTATAGATAACTTGAAGTTGTACATGTAACCACGGGCAACCGGAAATAATTGACAAATGGACTTAGACCACTTTCAGAATAAACGGCTCATATAATTTTTATTTCTATCGATATATTTATTTATAATTTTTCTTACTATCGAAAGTACAATAACGCGGATGGTTACAAAGGCTTCAAAGTGTTATGTGAAATTCAAATTACGCGCGAACAGAAAGTAGGATTTTATTTAAAAAATGATATTTTCGAGAAAATAATGTAGGATATCTTTTCCAAAGAAATCGCGAATCGGCCCATTGCTAACAAAAATAAATTATAAACCGATCAATATTTTCTAGAAGCAAATGGAAAAGTTATTTTTGGTAGCAAAATTAAGTTGCGTGGTTCCCACGAGGAGGTGAAACGTAGGTTAAGAAAAGCATAAAAGCAGACCCTTGACAACCAAAACAGAGTCCTTAGAAATTAATTGTGACCGGCACGAGCGTGAGTCGCTCGGTATTGAAAAGGGAGTTAAATTAGAGTGCCTTTCTGTGTGTTTTCGTTGTGTTATTTTGGTGTTCTTTTCCTAATTGTAAGTTAAATTAGTTTTATGAGTTTTGTGTTTGTGTTATTCTGTTCTTGTTGTTCTATCAGTTTTTGGTGTCTCAAAACCAGTTTTCACCATCCTACAATAATTTATCTATTTATTTTTAAAATATGAAGGTACGGGTTAAATGGAGAATTATAAAAATTTTTAATTTCGAAGAAAATGGACAATTTATATTTTCGTAGGTGAATATTTTGTGTTGTGTAAGAATTGGATACGAGATCATCGTGACATAATTTTCATACGCTTTGTACATATGTTTGTTAATACTAGTGCTATCTAACTAGTCAAAATAAGTTGTTTCAGCTATTTCATTTTTACAAATTATTAAAAAGTTGACTGTTTTTGACAAAATTAATCTTGACATACATTTAAATAAAAATATAATTATATATAGCCATTTATCATGTTTAGGTACTTGTTATAATTGTAATATTAAAGATCATTATACTGTTTCTTAATTATCTTTGTGCTAAAAAATCATTAAAAGGAACCTATGTCAGAAAAAAGAGAAGAAGAAGCTAGAAATGTTTGCAAAACTAATTGGTATTCAGTGTTAATACATTATTATAATCCATATAATTTATTCTAAAGCAAATTTAACTTTTCGTAATAAAATACATTACAATATAAATATAATATACGATACTGTAGCATTATAAATATTATAAACATAGAATATATAATAAAATAAAACTCAGCTCACGCCACCAAGTTCCTTTTCCAATTTTCTCTATGATTTATGCGTACCTTTTTACGCTATTATTTATTTCATTTGAATAAAAATATCAATTTTTCAAGATGCTCACAGATAAATATATCATGTTAAAGATAAGATGAAATAATAAATAGTGAATAAGAATAATATTAAGGTTAATCGTTAATCGAAAACAATAAAAATCAGTAAATATACAGGGTGTCCCAAAAGGTCAGAACCAAATTTTTACTACGTGTTTGTGACACCAAGTAGGTAAACTTGTGTTTTACCTATACCTTCTTATAAACTTGTATCTGAAAATCCTTTATTGCAGTTTTGTAAGCGTTCAAAGATTTACAAGTTGCAATAAACTTTGGAAATTTCCTTTCGTTAGACTATAAACTCCTAACCTAAAAACTAACCTAAAAATCAAAGTCTTCCTTGAGTATTGCAAATGTTTGTAAGACTTGGATAGTTTCTAATTAAATTTTACGATTTTAATCAAATATAGTCTAAGCTTGGCTCCGACCTTTTGGATCATCTCGTATATATCAAATTTTGAGAATTAGTAATGACTCGAAAGCAAGTTCTATTTTCTTAACAACTATATTATAAATACGATTTATTATCTGTAGAATTTTGTATACTAACCTGAAGAAAGAAACAGCATACTACGAAAAATATATTGCAACATCGATGTCTGGTAATCATGATCACCTAAAATAAAATTTATAATGTGAATAAAATTTGAAAAACAAACGTTTCTTTGTTAATAATCTAAGTGTGGGGTCAACTTAATTAGCGAAGATATTTTAAAGCAAAACTTTGAAATAGGTAAAACGTATAAATAATCGATATCACAGAATGAAACATTTTGTCTTATTGCAAATTACTAGACAATTGCAACTACTTACAATTAGCATTAAAATTACCAAAAAATTCGAATTAATTCAAACCAATTTATCGAATATAATTATACAAAGTGAGTCATTTAATTTTGTCACCTAAGATTACTTATAAACTTTTTATTATATTTAAGAAGATTCAAAATGAATGTTATTTGGTATCAAACGAAACATGTTATTTGGTATCGATCTAATAATTAGTCTTTTGTATCATTAGTTCTCTTTAATGATTTTTCTTTCCTGGGAAGGAAAATATCTTAATAAGTTTTTACTAAATATTTTATATAAGCATTTTAATCAATTTTTAAGAAATATTTTAATATTTTAATATTTTAATAAATTACGAAATATAATTTTAAATTATATTTTGTATTTCAATAAATAAAGCGAGACAACAAAAAATTCTTAAACACCAACGAACTTTTGTTTGAAATATTTTTTCACGCAACAGAAAGTTTACGAATAGTTCTAAATAGCATAATTAAATAATTCACCCTATATATATACGTCTGTTTTGATCATTAGTTCTTTTTAATGATTTTTCCTTCTTGGGAAGGAAAATATCTTAATAAGTTTTTACTAAATATTTTATATAAGTATTTTAATCAATTTGTAATAAATATTTTAATATTTTAATAAATTATAAAATACCATTTCAAATTATATTTTGTATTTCGATAAATAAAGCGAGACAGCAAAAAATTCTTAAACACCAAAGAGATTTTGTTTGAAATATTTTTTCACGCAACAGAAAGTTTACGAGTAGTTTTAAATAGCATAATTAAATAATTCACCCTATATATATACGTCTGTTTTCATCATACGATTTTAAACGTTATTATCTGTATACGTGCTATTAACAATACACTGCTATTAAATACACATTACAGCCCGGTAATATTCTAGTATTACCATTCCTATGTCTCAACTTTAATAACGATGTTAATAACGATGATAATAATGGCGATGATAATACAACGTTAAGATGATAATAGTATTAATAGATCCTTGAAATTATGTTCGTCGTAGCAGGGGACAGTGAACCATGATTCGAAGGTTGCCATGATCTTGACTGACCAGAGATTCATAAAGAAAAAGCCCATTTGCATATAGTCATGGATAGTCCTAATTGTATCGCGAGGTCCCGTATTCATTTACAATAGAGCCATTTACATACCGCTTTCAGCCACGTTAGGAAAGTAAATGGAATAGAAAATACGATGAACAAATATCTGACGGGTGACCTTGAGTTAATAGGAATAAAATCTTATGTAAGAACGTGGATGGTACGTAGAAGGTACGCGTATAGTGCCAATCAGGTCGAGTTACGACAATCGGGGCAAAGCTGTTTATATTCTATCGCGATATCGACTCTTTCAAGTGTCTATGGCTTACAATGTCTTTTCTTTCCATCGAAGAAAATATTCCATGAATTTATTTCTACCAAGTTTATCCTTTATTCGTTATTTCGTGATAATGGACTCGATTAACGTTTATCAATCGTACCCGTTTATAATATTTATATTGGGATTATGGATTTATAATCGTAAAATAACTACGATATATATAACAATAATTTAAAATAATGTAATAATATTGTATAATAATATAAAACAATGTTAACCATTTGCACTATGAGGTCACCACTGGCGTAACAAAATTATTTTTCCCTAAAACTCTTAAGTCACCATATATATAATAATAATAATATATAATAATATGAAATAATATTAACCCTTTGCACTATGACGTGACACTTCGTAATAAAACAAACTAGTGAGAAGCAGTTTTATTTAAAAAATTATGTGAAATTATGCGTATGTACATAAAACTCGTGTATTATACACTTCTCGGCATAATAATATTAGCGTTCCTTATCAAATATTCAAACGCAATCGCATCGAATTGTCTCGAAGTCACTCGTGGAAAATTTTCGACAAGGCGCGAAACGTCGGGGAAGACCCTCAACATCGGACCACGAAAATCGATTAGATGGTAAATTACATATACTAATGGCAGATCCTCGAGGCAAACGTAATGACTGCCTAGTGTGTTCAAATCGAAAAATAAAAGGTGGAAGGCGAACAACAGTCTACTTTTGCGAAACTTGCGACAGGAAGCCATTTTTGCATGTAGGAGATTGTTTTAAAAAGTACCATACCTTAAAAAAATATAAATAACCATGAATTAATATTCGTATTTTGATATTATACATTCCTTATGAACAATCGTTTTGTCGATAAAACATTAAACTTTAAACAACTGCGAGCAATAGCTTCATACCTAACACGTGATATCAAAACCAGAAAAATTAAATCAGAGTTGGCTGAGAACAAACTAGGAAAACAATTATATTGCAAAGGGTTAAATAATATAATATAAATAATATAAAATAATATAAAATAATATATATTGTGCGAGGAATCTTTATTTTTGATGGCGTCACACTGTATCGGGATCTATTTTTGCTTCGAGAAAAATTCATAAGCTGGATGGATCCTCGAAGCTAGGCTGAATGACGCAATGTGCTGGTGTCATAGAACCTATGGGAACCTTACTGAAGGGTTCGAAGGATCACTTTTCCGCAGTCCACCGTGCAACACACATTACAGAAAACCTCGAACCCCGTTTATACCATTAAGAAATTTAGCATACGTTGAATGCGGCGCCGATTTTGCTATACTTTCCGTTCAGGCGGTAGCGAATGAGCATTTAATACCGAACGCTCAAGTATGCTGAAGAGTATGAACAGAAGATTACTTTATTTCACTTTGTCGTTTGGACTGTGAGAATGGTGCAGCCAATGCGCAAATATATAAATTATAAACAAAAGATAACGAAGTGGAGAATACCAGAAAGGCAAAAAGGCAAAGCCAGAAGTGCAAAGATTTACTTCAGCAGAGGGAATTTAGTTTTTGCGATATATTAATTGTCATTAACCAGTTAGCTGTGATTGACGAGTATACTCGTCACGGAGAAGTGACAGGATCTTGTGTCACGACGAGTATACTCGTCATGCGTAAAAAGTAGTGACCATTGGCTATTTAAATTGTAATTTTTGTGAAAAATAAAACATATTCTCAAATTTCAAGATGTTTAGAATATTTTGAGGCCAGGTCGGAATAAAACAAACAAATAAAAAATATGAATAATTTGTGATGAACTCATGCGTCCCCGTATGCACCGGCTGAAACAGCTTATCAGTTCGCATAACGAATTTATTTATGCGCGATGATAACGTTTTTTAGATGTAGCGTAAAAAGGGCAAAAGCAAAAGTCGGAAAGCTGATTTACGATAGGGTTCCTTCAGGGATGGTCCGCCATGGGACAAATGCGTGACGCTGACCAGGCGCTGAGCCCATTGATGGCTGCTGGCCCGAAATTACCCAGCTATTTTTTGACGGTCACCAAAATTCATAGATATCCATAAAAACTAACCAATAAGAGAATAGATGTTAATCAAATAAGTAAATATTAGTAATAAAATTGTCAATTTTATAAAATAAACTCATCTTTTTGATCCAATATTTTAACAGCGACACTTACTCTGTGATTGACGAGTATACTCGTCGCCGCTCGATTTTCGCGACACATATGGGTACGCGCTCTCAAAAGGGGGCGCCACAGCTAACTGGTTAATAATTTAACTCTTGACAATACCGGTCTGACGCACCGATGTCGACCAAATGAAAAGTCCGCTGTCAGTCCCCAGAATCCACGCCGTCCAAACGAAAAGTCTACTGTCAGTCCCCAGAGACTGACGTAGCAATCAACGTGTTAAAATATAATTCAGAGTAGAAGTTCTTATTGAGCATTATTAATCCGATCTTGTATTACTCAAGGAAGGTATATCCATCTTTTAGTGCGTCTCTAGAGTATCTGACAGACTCGTGAGAGAGTTTCAAGAGGGTACGTGACGCAATTTACCAAAACCAGCAATTCTCATTTAATATTTATATAAATATTCGTTCTTGGAATTTAGGTTTTGTTGTAGTAAGATTAAATAGCAAAGTAAACTCTACATCCTAGCGATGTGGGGGCGATCTGCAACCTAACCTAACCTAACCTAACCTAACCGTTCGCCCGTTTGATAAAGATCTATACAGTTTTTCCTCCGTTTCCACTGACTACTATTCCTTTGCGTTATAATCCCTTTAACAGGTTTTATAAACTATTTATTCACACTTTATATCCTAGATTGATTTTTCTATATAACTAAACTTATCTCTTCAACAGTTTATAACGAGCCAAAGTCAAGTTTCCTTGAAAACTATGAAATGAATTTTGATAATACTGTATTTGTTGCGAGGGATAACGTGAAAGATACTATTTATGTACGTATATTATAGCAAAATAGGCATGAACATAAGTGGAAGCTTCGATGCCCGTGATATCAAAGTTATGTTCACCATGGCGTACATGACGACCATTAAAAGGAAATATGAATGAAATTAACATAAATCCAAGCTGACATAAAACCATTTCGATGTTAATGTCTTTGCACGTGTCGAGTCATAAAACCTACGATACAAACAGGCGTCTAGAATTCAATACACTTTGGAGTTTTTAGTACATTAAATGTCACAAATGTTTAATAAACGTACTTTTGTTCCGAATGTAATTCGATCGTTTTACGATCATATCGATACGTCAATTTTTGAAACACGCAACTGATAGCATGAAGCAATTTGAAAGGTGATTTCACGACTTCGTTACGATATATCGTTATGCATAAAAGATACGTGTTATATTCATACGTATGTATTCTATCTGTCGTTCGTAATAAAAGCATCTAACTAGTAACTGGTAAATCATAATTATTAATTGCTGACTTAAGTAGCCATTATTAGATGGCAAAGGAAAAATAGTAAATGGTAATTAATTAATTAATTGCTAAATGGTATTGAATTGGTAGATGATAATTGATTAATAATATTCGTTATTATAAAGAACAAAAAATTTTCAGATATCCCAATATGCCTCTGAAATAGATACCGTTGCACAAATTAAACGTTATCCTAAATAATAACACGTACAACGTATAAAACAACATACTATAGTACTTAGTTTTGGCAGAACATAACTAACACATAACTAAAATGAGTTATTGCTACGAATACTAATTTTTACGTCAAAAAATTGTATTACATATTTGGAAAAGGAATCACTATGACATTTATAAATTAAGCAATAACGTTTGAACTTTTCTATTAATCCAAATAATAGTACTACGCTTAAACAATTATTATTATTATTATATAATTATTATGTAAAAGGAAAAAATAATACTAATTATTTATTATAATAATAACCAAACTATTATAATAATTTAGTATAATAAATAATAATTATTTTTATTTCTTGCATTTACATAATAATTATGTAATAATAATAGTACTACGCTTAAACAATTATTATTATTTATTGTAACTTAAATTTAAAAATGCGCATTACAAAAGGAAATCTAATACAGTTATATCTGATTGTATACAGAACATTAATGAACGTGTAATAAATTGTAAATTAAATGACTTCTCTGTAAAAAATTATGCTTTAAAATATGCTTGACTTGAGCAGAAGTACGCATTGGACACATCACTATACAACAGTATCACATTTTAGATAAAGCCCAGCAGTTTATAATAACGCAGAAATAATGTTATATTTACATTTTTAATCAACAATCCTCATTCAATAAACTTCACTATTTTTGTTATGCTATGAACTATACATTACAAATAAAATTATGAAGTTTAAATTATGTTAAAATTTCTATAAGAATATAAATAATAATAAAGTCATTTAAAAATTATTGTACTAAATTAGATTGGTTTTAGTAGTTTTTATAATATTCAAATATCCTAGTGGTGTTACTTTCAATACGTTAGATGAGAATATTAGCGCGAAAACGACATATGTTTCTGAAAATTAATTCTGGAAATAATATATAAATTATCTTGAAGAAATCCGGAGATAAAACATTATGTATCAATTTATCTGATGCATGTTACGATTTACCTGATTACGTCAAATTTTTTCTAATTACTTTCTGGTTTTCTGCACTATGACGAGTTAAACCGTGCCTCATAAATGTATTATTTACATGCATAGATATGTTGCACACATCCTTAATAATCTACTGAGTTAAAGTTGTCCAATAAAGATATTAATTCTATTGGACACGTTAAATTTATAGCCGTTTGAATGCACAGCGATTACGAACGAACATAGTACAAATACATCTGTTTTGTTCTTCAATAATATTATACAGGATAAAGGTGTTCTAGTTAAGATTGCACCTATAAATTATACTTAGTGCGATATACTGTTTTTCGTTTCATGTAAGATTCTTTTTTTTGGATTATAGGTGTTTTAATTTCAGTTGATTTAAAAATTTGAAGTATTTAAGCCGACTTAGCAATAATTTTGTAGAGTAAATTATACCTTTATCTCAGAAGACATGTCACTATTGGTGAAGGTCTGGAAGTGAAAAAATTAAGTTCACTTAAATTAAGTTTATGCAATTCTTCGTCTGCTTTGTTGTGTTTCAACTCTTGGTAGGTGTACAAAAATTTATTCCATTCGTCGATTCTCGGATGTGCTAAATGCTATATTCAAAAAAGCGTGATTCCATTAATTGTTTATCCTTACATTATACATTTGAAATAATCAAAAAATGAATTAAAACAACATATTGATAAAACTAATAGAAAGTAATCAAATGCAGACTGATAAAACAATAACCTTACCTCAGCAACATCATATACCCAAATCTTTCCTGAATCATCACCAACGGTTACGTGTAAGCCACTCGGTGTCCACGAAACTCTGTTAAGAGCCGGGGAACCATCGATCACAACACTAGCTGTAGGCACTTCAGTATCTTGGTTGAGATTCCACAGATCTAATCGTCCTGAATCGTCCACAGCAGCAAACAGAGCTGGATGGGTTGGCGACCACGCAACGTCATAAACGTAATCGCCATTGTGTTCGAAAGAGTATAGACATTTGTTCTCTTTAAGGCTCCAAAGTTTGATTGTCCAGTCGATGGACGATGTTAAAAATAGATGCGAGAAATCAATCCCACCTTGTACACCATGTGCACAAATTCCAGTAATCGGACCTTGATGACCTTCGTAAGTCTCTAACACTCCAGCTTTCGCACCGTGACGACAAGCTGAACAAATATGAAAAATCACAATGATTTCTAAGATAACATATTACAATATAAGAGTCCGTAATGTGATGACAAAATTCATTTACCGGAGTAAACGTTTCCATCTTCACTACCTACAGCGAAGTTATTTACTTCGCCAGGAGGGAATGCTAAACAGGTAGCGGCAATCGGTTTCGCTTGTTTACTGTGAAGTTCTAATATCTCGTGCGGTTGTGACAGCATGTCTAAACTCCAAGAGCACAATTTACCATCAGTTGATATGCTTATCAAATTGTGCGCGTTTTGTACTCCAACAACGTTTAAACAGTACACAGGATGCTGGAAGCAGAATGTTTCAAATATTCGTAATGTTAAAATGATTTTACATAAAACATTATATATTATTTATCAAGCAACTTACAGTGTGTGCGCTTGCTGACAGTGGAGTACGTTGAATGGGAGTTCTCTTTTGCACTCTATTATCCCAGAGAACAATCTGTCCGGAGTAAGTACCCCCTATGATTAAATTAGGATGAAATCTTGCAAACGTGGTCGACATAACTGGAGACTGACAATGAAAAATAAACTCTGGAGTCGTTTTCTTGAATTTTGTGTTCCAAACTAAACACACTCCATCGGGATCATTTGGAGTGTCATCATTATTATTATAGGAGGCTGCAAGGAGTTCTGGAAACTGAGGTGACCAGTCCATCGAGGTCACACAACGATTACGAGACCATCGATCACAGAAAAACCATCGGTTCAACGATATACGTTGATGACTCTTTTCGTCCCTACAAAATCGAACAAGTTTCAAATTATTTTAATCCTTAGGAAGCCATTGCTAGATCCATACATTATTACTCTTTAGAAAACTCTGACATTTCGTTAGGAATAAAAGTAATAAAAATGTCCAATTAAATGACATTTATTTTTACTCACATTCCATCTTCGCCATCCATAGTACCAGTGTAATCGCTATAAATATTAACGGATTCTCCTAATGCTCTTTCCACAATTCTACCAGTACGATTAAGGAATCGTTGAAAGTCTTCAGAAAGTATAATCATCTGTTTTTGTTCTTCGCTTAGTTCATTTTTCCACACATGTGATTCAATTTTTCTATGAAAAACTAGTACTCATAGCAATAACTTGATTTTAGTTATGTTTAAGTTATGTTCTACCAGAACTATTAGAATATGTTGTTTTATACGTTGTAATTATTATTTAAGGTTATTATTTAATAATAGCCAAACCATTATAATAATTTATTGTGATAAATAATAATTGTTATTATTATTTTTTATCTGTCATATCGCACATGAACTGAGAATTAAGACATAATAAAAGGTATGGAAAAATATAAAAATGATATTATAATTGCATCAAGATTTAATGCGATTTAACGTGATTTAATGCAATCGACAGATAAGAGGTATTAGAGAATGGCAATTTAAAAGATAATTAAAAGGTAAATATTAGGAAATAGTAATTTGAAACGAAAATCTACATTTCCTCGATTACCATATTTCAAATTCGATTATGCTTACAGAAAAATTGATCACGCGTGACTAACAATTATAACGAATAACCATATCGAATCTGATTCCACAACATGATGACAAGACGACATCGATGCACTTGCGCAAACCTCGCAAGGTGCACTGAATATCCTTTGGCTTATCATTAATCTATCCTTTATCAGTGGAATTCAACGTTACAAGATAAATCGTCGTGGCACCTTTCTCCGAAACCACGAAGGCTAACCAGCTTCTTTTTCTTCGTTTTCGAAGAAACTCGTGGCTCTTATCGGATCACGGGTTACTTTTCATGCCGCTGGATTCTGATTTAACGATAGTTTTATCCACGGCCAATGTTCGTTCCAGTCTTCGTTTCAGTCCAGTAATATTTTTTCCTCCTTCCTGTCAAGAAATGATCGAAAGGATCTAATTACCCCGATCCCAATAGTTAATCAAAAGCTTATTAAGTATCTTTTATACATGTACGTACGTATATCGATCGACAAAAGTATTCGTGTGCTATATTTCAAGGGAATCTTTAACCCAAAAATACCGAATGCTTGGGTATGTACGAAACGTAATAACGGGTTACGCGCGAAGTAATTTTTGTCGGCGGAAAATGTCTTTGAACGAGTGAAATCGATGATTAAAGTTTTAATAATTTTTCTGTTTTTTTTTAACATTATCTCATGGGAAAATATTTTTACCATTGACATTTTTGACATAGAGCAATTTTTAATTGGAAAGGTGCCCTATCCTGCACCGTTATTAAGTTGTATTTGAAAATTCTTAAAAGTAATTCTAAATTTAAGCTATTTCTTATATTTTTCAATCGACAAATGAGTTTTTAATTTTTAATGAGTTTTCCATTTACAAAGTTTCATTAAAAATGAAAAATTTGTTTGACAATTGTTTGACAATTGAAAGATAAAAATAGCTTATTTTTAGAATTACTTTTAAGAATTTTCAAATTTAATTTAATAACGGTTTAGGATAGAACAAAACTTTCCAAATAAAAATTGCTCTATGGTAAAAATATTTTTTACGTTAATAAAACTTTGTATAAAATTAGAAATAGCTTATTTTTAAAATTACTTTTAAGAATTTTAAAATTTAACTTAATAACGATGCAGGATAGAGCACAACTTTCCAAATAAAAATTGCCCTATGGTAAAAATATTTTTTACATTAATAAAACTGTGTATATATATACAGAGAAAAAATAAAAATAGCTTATTTTTGGAATTACTTTTAAGAATTTTTAAATTTAACTTGTATATATAGGAGTGGAAGTAGTTATACATGAAACAATTTTCTGTTTTGCAAAATATCATTTCAAGGCGTAATCCGTTATAATGCTTTACATATACACAAACATTCGCTGAAATCAATATGTTTGAGTTGAAAAATTCCCTTGAAGTATACTGTCCAATATGTCGTGAGAATACGCGTATTAAACTTGCAGAAATCCTTTATTGCGAATACGATAATTAGGAAAAATGAATAATTAATTAGCTTCTAAGGCATATGATTCACAATCTTGAGTCATCATCAGCCGGTTCGATTGTTTTACAAATGAAAGCTAATACGAATTAGCAAACGTTACATGAATGTTATCAAATCTATAAATATATGTCGAATAAATCGTTTCGAAAATATCGTGACTTTTTAATAACCAGCTAAATAGATTAACGATAAATGGTATAGTAGATTGTAGACTCGATTACTACAATAATAAATTATTTAATTGAGTGATATATCGCTATTTAATTAAATACTCGCATATTACCAATTTTAATAATAACTTTTATAAATTAATTATCAGAATGTTAAAATATTAGCGAATGTCGTCTACGTATTATATTATGTCAAATTTTTATTTTCTTTTTTTAATAATAATAATAATCCAATATCCATAATCACCTAAAATATTTTGACAGAACAAATTGATAAAACGAAGGATAGCCTTTGAGTTAGAGTAGAAATAAAAATAAACATAAGAAAACCCAGTGTTTTTCGACTAATTACATTTGTACCAACCTGAATGACTTTTCGTAACTGATGATTTTCGTACGTTATTTGGAAATATATTCAGTTCGCCTTTTAGAAATTGTAAGACAAGAAGAAGAGGTCTGATGGTACTTTACTCTCCTTTAGTATTCCCTCGTCTCTCGCATAAAACTGTCCTCCGCTTCTCGGTTTGCCCTTTTTAAAGATAGTCCTCCTTTGTCTACTTGCGGATCCAGCGGATTTCAGCTTCGTTTGAGAGCCCGGTTATCGCTCCTGCTTGCTCCTTATCAGCAACCAGAATACGCTTATTCTTACAAATTCAGTCAATCCTCACTATGTCCGTCCTCATATGGACCTAGACATGGCACGTTTTTGATCACTCCTAAGTTCCTTCATACGGTTCCTGTGATATTTAAAATCCAATATCGCAGCTACGTATCCATTGTTCCGCTGTGGAATGTGCTAATTCCTTCCAGATCACAATCGCTAGTCGATGAAATCCGTTTTTCGAACCGCATAAATTAAAACATTTTATATAAACCATATAAACATATAACATTTTATACCTCTAGTCGATTTTCGATAACTGGTGATAGTTTTTGGCGATACAATTAAGTCTCCTATAACGCGATTTCCATATGAGCCGTTCACTGCACAAATCGATTAACTCCACTTTTTGAAAAATCTTCAATTTAAGTGTCAAAGCACTTGGTATAGTCATAACTTTTTATATTTGTAATAACTTTCCCCGATAATTAAGATTAACACCATTAAACGACAAAAATTTATTGGCCACTGAATAATAAATAATTTATTTCAGAGCTCACTTTGATTAACTCCGTACTCTAATGTAAATCGTTGCAATAATGCAACTCGAATGCACTAGCAAGCCACGAATGATAACGGTGAATTTTTTAGTGCCGTCTTATCAGAATTTAAGTAAAATTTAGTAAAATTTAAATTTATTACTTTTTTCACTTGTCAAATCGATTAACTCTTACAGGAACATAAAAATGGTAACATTACTAACGATTACCTTTTGGTTATTTTTTCTTATAAATTTTATATACCGTTAGACGAAAGTTACATTTGTATTTATGCATTCTACGATATTTATTTCGATTGAAATTGTAAAGGGAATTTTAAAAAACAATATACATTCCGCAGAGACCGGCGCTAGACTTTCCGTTCGGGTCCGACCCAAACTAGGACCAAAAGGTACTAGCTTTTGGTGTTAAATTCTTCGCCATCTTTGGACCTAACGTTTGGGAATTTCTTTTATAACAATTGGTACAGTATCTCCGAGTTTTATGTATACTTCGCCCGTCGCGAATGGCCAACTTGACAGCCGAGTCTGGGCCTGATCGGAACGGCAAGCAAAATGGGCTGGACACTTAACGTGTTAAGAGAGGATGATAAAGGGAAAAGCGAGCAATAGAGCGATAAAGATGAGTAAGGGACAAAAAGGGAAAGTTATCCGGTCTGGAGTTTATCTAATGTGCATAGTTAAACACCTACAGATGACTAAACGGTCATCTAACACCTTAGATCGTCTAATATTTCCAGAATTATGCCTCTCTCGGCGAACGATAAGCTTCGCGACGAAAAATGAAAAGGTTTGTGATTCCGTAACTTTAACCACCTGTGCTACCTATAAACTTACAGACGCGTGAGCCAGAACGGTCTAATGTTCTATGACAATTTCTTGACTACGTGTGTTCCGTCGTGGAACAAGGAAGACCCGTTACGGTCTTCCAACAGCTAGGTCTTAGGGTCGAACAATTCGGCATCGGAATTTTCCGCTCCATGCCTTCAGCATGTTTGAATGCTTTACCTTTTTTCTTTGACTTCTCGTGTCGCGGAACACGAGAATCCTGGAAATCCCTAATTTAACGAAATTAGGCGACGGCTCTTAAGACTTGGCTGACAATGGCCTGAGGGCTCCACGTGGTCCGCACACGTTGGAAGCCTCAGGCCACGATTTTTCCTAAGGCCGATCTTAGGAAGATCGAGGAGCTCACTTCCGTACGAGCCCTGAGAGACACGGGTTCTCTCCTAAGAGTTCGGTTCGAGATCTGAGAGACACGGGTTCTCTCCTAACACACTTCCATACGAAACATCAGAGACATCGGTTCTCTTGAACCAGTTCTCTTCAAATCAACAACACGCCACGGTTCTTTTCGAAACGTCGACCGTCGTAAATACGACTCTTTTCTGCTCGTGCAACTTAAACAGTTGCTCAATATTAATTTGGCAGGCAACACGTATCGTAGTCGCGAGACGGCCTTACAACCCGTCGGAAACACGAGAGTTTCGATCGCGACGCGACGCGACAACGTGTATACCACGTCGTTGGCGATTCTGCGACAAACGCGTTACGACGTGCGTGGCACGTCTTTCTAGCGCAAGTGGTCAAACTCGCTTCCACTTTTATTTTTGGTTCCTCCAGTTGTTCTACATTTAGATAATCGGTTCCTATTACAATCCTTAGTTTGTTTTGCTCCACGATCGCGATTTGGGGGTTGACTAACGCGTTGATTTGGTTATCCATAGGCTCACATATGTTTATATTCGTGCAACTACCAACGAACGTTTCTTCATCTGGCCCTAATTAACTGTGTAAACTAAGATTACATTTTTTCAGAAAGTCACGACCTAATACAGCGTAATTTACCATCACGTTGTCAGACACCACTCGATAATCAGCATCCATCGCAACATTTATGGTTATCGAGAATAACATTAACGAATATCGACCCGTGCAGGATCAAACGACTGTTATTCATTCCGGACAAATTGGTGTTTACCCTTTGCGTCGATATTATACTGCTTGCTCCTTAACCCTTTGACTACGGCAGACTTTGAAACGCACCGGTCGTAGGAATTCATTTACAATGTCCGCCGAGAACGGCAAAATTTTGGGTAGAGATGCACTCTCCGTGTCACAAAAGCAAACTGCTGAGCGCTTATATGCGCCTTCCGTGTCACAAAAGCAAA